ATCAGTGCGGGGGACGTAATGCGACTGGAGAGCCAATCGGCGCTACGCACGCCCGCCCTTCGTCCCTCTTACCCCACAAGATACCTGATTTTTTACTTCTGCGCAGTAACAGTCACCGCTAGAGTTTCGTGCAGCTGCTTATACTTTGATTTTAATAGTGACATTTAGTAGTGGAGGTACAGCCACGGTATTATAAAATAAAGCATTGATTGCGGTACGGTATTAAAAAATGGAAAAATAAAACAACATTTTATCTGAACGGTATTATTTAACAAGACTTTTATAATGTGAAGACATAGTTATCTCGGACAACTTATTAGTGCACTGACAACACTGAAATTGGGACAACATAAATATATATACGTATTACAATGTGTTTAGTCTGCTTTTAGATCAACTAAATTATCTATCAAATGGCCTTTATTTGGCAATCTTAGCGCTCAGTCGCTCCTCTTTTTTTAATTTTATATTTGTAGTCTGCGGCCGATGGTTTACTTTAGGGCCATTTATACCACCTTTTCAGAATTGTCAGCAGCGATAATAATAATTAAAATCTATGTAAAATTTTAGAAAGTAATAAAAAATTGTGTGCATGAATTATAAACAACTTTGCTGCACTACCAAGATCAACAGCAAAACATTTCCTGATGATTCGTATCAAATTGATAACCCGTCTTTTTAATTTTGGGGTAGGTATTCATTTCTATGCTTCGATTATGTTCCCTTCTTCTTCTGTTTCTTCAAGCTATTCATTTTTTCGGCAATCTCATTAACAATGACGAAATCCGCAGAATCTCAAAAAATGATGACACAAATACAAAGAAACATTCTCACTTCAGTAATGACACACATAGATGCAATAAGAAAGTTTTTTTTGCTCAAGTTTGGAAGCACATAATTAGTGATTGAAATTAAGCCATGACTCATTTCCCATACAAAATAACTTACATTAAACATTTGGTTTTTAAACTCTTAAATACATGTGACTTGTATCTGAATGAAAGAGGTGACAAGATGATTATGCCAATAAGTAGGTACTATTTATTTAGCCAATCGTATCAAACATTTTAACACTTGTGGCGACTACCGCATACCACGAAAAATATTCTACAATGCCATGGCGCGCGCTAACTTCTCACCGTCAGCCATGATCACCTCGTCTGGTCGGAGGATCTTCCTTTTGTGTAAGGGCATAACGCCGTTCCTCGCCAACTAAAGTTGTCGAGGAACGGCGTTATGTCATTTCAGTACAAAAAGTTAAAGCATTTTTATGTAACATAATTATCAATTCACCCCCTTAATGCAGAACTTAAACTAAAATCATAAAAGCATTGGATATGACTATATATGTGGTTTGTTACTAAATTATAACCAAATATTAGTTCTACTTTAAATTACATTTATTAGAAGATATTATATACAAACTTAATTTTATTAAGGCACTATTTTCTTAGGTGTAATTGATTAACTCGCCTCAGTGATTTAAGTACATGTGTTACTCTAAGCTTAGCAGCGACGGAACTCAAAATTTAATTATATTGTATTATATAATTTAAATATATTGTATTTTTGGATTTTGAGTTCTTAATAACTAATTAAATAGTGGGATGTGTCTTGCTTGATTATAAAAATTTTGAGTTCTCTGTAAATCACATTTTTTTAAATTAATATTCAAGTGTGTGTATCTAAATTTTTTTCCAGCATCGTTTTATCCAAAGACAGGCGCATTCCGCAGAAAGTTATTTCTTAAGTTAAGTACACAATAATATATATATATATATATATTAATTTATAATAAATAATATTTTTGCTATACTAAATTAAGTAGCACACCAAGTATTTCTAACCCCATTACCATAACAGTAAATAAAATGCTCTTATTTATTTCTGTACTATTGAAGTACAAATAATAAGAATTGGATGACAAACATTTTCATAAATTACCTCAGATATAATAGTATACAAAAAAAAAAGTCAAGAAGTAACAAGTGACTAAATTAAAAGGTACTAGCGATGATTTATATATATATATATATATATATATATATATAATTATTAAATATCACATGCGCTGCAATGTGCATGTGATATCTAATTATTACAGATGTATTCACAAATAGATTTAATTCAACTATTTTTTTTATATTTATTGATCATTATAACGTATACTTGTTAGGAATAAATAAAAAACCTAAATTTGATTAATTTCTTATGTTAAAGATACATTTTTGAGCCTTCTCAGTCAGTTGCCTGTAGCCTCAGTAGAAGCACAAAAAGAAATCGAATCAAAATAGTTAGAAGGCTTTAATGATAATAAATATATTTAATGCATTAATTAGATTTTATTTTAAAGTCAGTTAGTAGGGAAAGCATATTCAAATAGATTTTTTACCAAGTATGTTAACAAAGTTATTGTACCATGATTGTTGTGCTGCATTAAACTTTAAGACGAATTATCTTTATTTATTAAATCACGAATATTTAACTAAATGTGAATGCAACCAGATTCATACTCAAATTCTTGCACGTGCATATATTATTAGGTGTACATTCATATACGATAAAATATTTAAAGCCTAAGTACTGTTACACGTTATAACGCTAAACATTATCATATAAATATTTGCAATTCCAAATGGCTCTTATATTAATGAAATGAAAGATACACCACCTTTATATTATTGCGTTAGCCCGCAATCCGTTTACAAAGTACCTATAGCACCGTCTTACATAATTATAGTCTCTTATCGATTAATCGATACACTGATATAAATTCGGTCACAGTTTCTACACCACTATTACAGAAACATTAACTCTGTATAATAATCGATTAACTTCCGATGAACACATTAGCTAAATCTACAGAGATTCGATTTCTGACCGAATTGTCTTTAATCTTACTAAAATGTTTTTTTTTAAGGATCAAACATTTATATGACTGGTTTGTGTAAGGTATATTTTTAACACAGAAGTAATTCGGCTTGCTATACAATATGTTGCAATTATTTACAGTAAGTTAACCTGTTAAATTAGTTTAGATTTTTTTAGTTCAAGTTATAAGCGAGTTGTATTAATGAGAGCTGTAAAAGCAGTGCACGCCTTTTTAGACAAGAAAAATAAAGTTGCACAGAATGCAACAGAAAAGCAGTTTAAATAATAAAAAAAAACTCCTTTGGTTTTAAGATTACACCAAAGCACCGTCAAGTTTTAGAACTTTTATCCGTCATATATTTTATTTAAATATTCCATTTATAAACTTAATCGCTTAATAAACAAATGTGGGTATGATAGTTAAATCGTGAATCGTTGCGTTTGTAAGTAAAAATATTATCCCGCCTCGACTTATCTTTTAGGCCCGGTCTATAGTGATAAGTTCATAACAAGAAGCTAAAATTCGATGTACGTTTATAGTGACTTCAAGTCGCGGTTCATATAAATGATTAGATTCATTGCAGATGAAATATGTCATACATTTTATTTGTACTTAGTGCATACTGAAAGTTTCTGGATTTTGATAAATAAGACTAGATATAAGACTTATGATACTAAATTCTTTTTAAAAGTAAATTCTCTCGCAATTAATGTATTTTTGCATTCGCTGAAACCACTGTACAAAGCAGTTGGACCGGTCTTCCTTAGCGACCTCTTCAATGGCTTCATGGAACGCATTCACCGCCGATTCAAGGCTCGTAAAACGTTCCTCTAAGTTTGTCTTTTTTTTTGGAAACAAAAGAAGTAGCAGGGTGCGAGGTCCAAGCTATAAGTTTTAAATTTGAAGCCTTCAAATAGGCTTCTGTTACCTTAGCGGAATGTGAGGATGTATTATCGTGGTGAAGGAGGACATTGCTTTGAGGACGTTTTTCGCGAACTTTTTCTAAGGCAAGCAAGTATTGAGATACCAATCTGCAGTCACTGTTGTTTGATCTTCAAGCAATACTGTAGTGTAACGTCCTGATTTGCCGAAAAAAAGCAACCATTTTTTTACCAATGCTTTTTTTTTACTTTTCTTAACTTTCGTCGACACATCGCCAAAACGAATGACCCCACTCTGTCAACTGACTTTTTCTTTCGGGTTCAAAGCAGTACACCCAGGTTTCATCAGCTGTCAGGATATTATAGACAGCCAATGACTGTCCTCTCTTAAACTTTTTTATCATTTTACAGCACCACTGGACACGCAGTCGTCCTCAGTTAAGTCATGCGGTATCCATCGAGTGCAAAGTTTTAGAACCTTCAGATGTGCATGTAAATGTTTTGCATTTGGCTCATTCCAATGTTTCAATAAGTTGTCGTATGGTGTCTGTAACCGCAGTCCCCGGCCGACCTTAACGTACCTCGTCATGGAGATGATCACGTCCACGTCTAAGTTTTCCAAATCACCAATACAGAGAGCTGCGACATGGTGCTTCATCGCCAAATGCCAATTGAAGTGGCAACTCTCTTGTTGACTTAAGCCTCAACGAAAATCATAAAAAATCATTGAACGAAAATGTTCACGAGCTAAATTCTTTTTGATAGCGACACACAATTTTCGAAAGGACGTCAAAATGAAAAAAGAAATGACAGTCTCGCAAATTAAAAGTAACATGTTCCCAAAGAGTTCCATTTTCGCATTTCATAACTGTTTTTTCATTCTTTTGTTGTAAGTAGCCAGATCCAGAAACTTTCAGTATGCCCCAAGTAAATATTTTTGGGGATCCTGGTGCTCAAAATAATATAGTAACATATTTGTATTTCAAATTGTTCACGTAATTGGTTTTGAAAAAAAAAACCAGCGTGTTCAAATAACTAGCATTATTTTTTACAGATTATCGAGATATTTATTGTGAACATTATATTAAAGAAAATTTATCTAGCATATTAGACCTACTTGTATTTAGGGGCATGGGTAATTAATGACTAGTCTATTAATTTAATAAAAAGAAAATTGCGTTAGTTATTTGTTGTCAATTTACCGGTCACTATATCGATCAGAAGCTTTCTAAGTTCGTAAAAGAGGTTTATATGCTGACGTTGTCGCTGATGGTGGCGATAGGCGGAGGTCGTTGGTCCACCGCGGGGTGCAACGGGCAGGGTGCGGGGGGCCGCGGGGCGGGCCGGGGGCCGGGCGGCACAGGCCGGGGCCCGTACGGTGCGGGGCGGGGGCCGGGCGGCGCGGGACGCGCTAGTGGCGCCCGTCGCAGGGGCCCCGCGGCGGGGCGGCTCTTGTCGAACACTTTGCGGTTCTTGGTGTTCGGCGGCCCGGCCCGCTGTCAGTCAATCACGTGTTTGATCTTCACGTACAGTACGCACGCGAATAGAAAGCCGAATATGGGGATGACGGCCATGCCCACGCCTACCGCCGCCAGGATTATTAAGTGGTCTCGTATGTGATTGGTGAATTGGCGGATGCAACCCTGGAAAGAGATTGTCGAGATTAGAGATCTTGATAAATTTTACATAACAGAATAAAAAAAAAATTCAAACGTTTAGTGCAGTACCAATAGTTTGTTCATTTTTTGCATTACCAGGTAGATTTAATTTTTTTCTTCTCATTGTCACATTCATTCATATTATAATGTATTTAAAATAATTGCCAGTTTGTCTGTACATAACTACCATTTAAATATGAACTACTACTGGTTTACTATTTTTCCACAATTGATTGTTATAATTCTTTCATTAGTTTTTTTTTTCATCTACAAAGGCCATTTGTGGCCTCTATTTGTAATCTTTTTTTTTGTAATCTCCATGTTGTGTTCTCCTATAATTGAGGAAGCACAAGACTTAAAATTTTATTTGCTATAAAACTAGCATGTAAGGTGTATTTCTTGTGGGAGATTCTTTAAAATAAATAAATAAACTACCAACTTTACATAACCTCAAATTGTTAGTTTTACCTACATGTAGTCAGATCACACAATTAATTGGTACATGACCAATTCATGAAATGTTCATTTTGTGGATGATAAGACTAACCATATCGATTAAAATATCAGTAATGGGAGAAAAGGGTATCAAACAAGGCATATCTATTGATGTCGTAATGACCTACCAGTGCCCTTTTGTATTTGTAGGTACATAACTGTTGTATTAAAAGCGTTTAAAACAAAATGATTACCGTCACGATGCACCACAAAGCGATATTCGCGTCTCTAACAGTCGATAATTTATTTTAAGATATGATCACATGATCACTAATAATTGACCATATCATGTGGTAATTTTAGGTTCAGCTGATAATATCGTCAAATACTGATAATGTATGCATCTGACTATTTCATGAAATGAGGAGTATGATTAGTCTTTAACTCTGATAGGAAAAATACCAATATAATATTTATGAAATATTCTATTTTTTAAATTAAATTGTTAACAGATGCCGTTCTTCAAACGGATTGTACAAACAAATTTTGATTAATATACGATAAGATTACGATTTTTCTTTGCAGGGAATCACAGCTTTGATTTTTTTTATCTAATCTATTATGTTATTTTCTATCTATTTGTCACACTCAACATAAAAATGTAACGGAACTCACATGATAGTATATATTGGAGGGGTGATCCCTGGCGCCACAACGGTTCGTGACGGTCTTGCAGCAGGAGTCAGGGACCAATAGCCGAGGGTCGTGTTCGTGCCACGGGCTGTGGCGCCAGTCTCCGTAGCGAAGCGCACCACAACATTTGAACTGTAACGACAAAACTTTAATTTATAGAGGAATGACATATATAACTCAATTACTCAACAGCCCAATAGAAAAAAAATAAAGTGCGTTTTAAAGCTTTAATAATAAAACATAATTTAAAAACAGTTTCATTCATATCAGCCTAATAATGCCTCCCTTGCATAATATTAGGTTTATAAGGAATTTTTCCTGTTCAATTCATTTTAACATAACATTTCTGTGCTAAAAATTAAGATTTTCCTAAAATTGTTATTGATTTTACCTTATTTTCGGAGTCTACTAGATCATTAACTCCGAACTATGACCAGTTTTTTTTTTTATGACACCTGTCTGTCGAATTTCACTCATTTTTTATACAAAAAGTCGGTGCAAAAGACTTTAAAGAGCTGAAATTGTATCATATTTTTCAATAAGACTGTGTAATTAGAAAAGTCTCTGTATTTTTATTTTTTATCCGTATTTATGCCAACGAATACTTTACGATTCATGTAATTTTTGTACGATGAGTTTGTTGAGCTCTGTGTCGTACTATTTCTTATTAAATTTAGTTTTGTGTGTCTTACTTACTTAGTTATATGCAAATTTAATTCACATCTAGCAGATGTCAACCATGTTGCTTTTTTTTTCTTTTACTACGTAACGGTTTTGTACTGTAATAATAAAAAATAATATACATGTTCTACGTACTTCGATCTGCATGCGGTCTACGGCATTCGTGATGGCTGTGTCAAGCGCGTAGTTGGATAAGAAAGTGTTGTTCAGCTCAGCAGTCAGCTCGTCCTCTACTGCTACTTCGTAGTAGTACGCTAATCCGCCGGCACCGACTTCCAAGATGAATGTTATCAGGAGGAAATATGTGTACTGAAACCGGAACGTGGATCTATATATCAACTACCACAACTATTGCCATAAACATTATTTAAACATCATTTTTCGATAACATTTGAGCCAACAATTAGTGACAGATTCTTCTCATAACAAAATAAGATAACAGAAAACTATTTACTATTATATATAGGATTAGGTAATACGTTTCTGGAGTGAAAATTAATGTATTTAAAAATAAAATGTATTTTAATCAAACCAGGGAAGATAGTGAAAAGTTCTTTTTTTAAATCCTATTTAATAAAAATCATATGAGAGCCAGAGGATGGCATTTTGGTACATCTATGTATGATATACTTCTATGTATGTATGTACGTATTTATAAAAAAAAAACACGGCGTGTTCTAGATCCCAGAGGCACAAGCTAAGCTTTGTTTGGGTTCATATAACTCTGTCTTATATGAAAATAGGAATTTTTAGTATGAAAGGCGATTCAAAGGGTAAGCTGCAAATTTACTTACACATAACAAACTGGTTCTATTCTCAGTCTTAAGTCCACAGCAGCCGAGCGCGCATAGCGGAACGCCCATGGCACCTGCGATGATCAGCAGATACGCTATGGCTGGGTATGTTGGTGTGGGCAGCAAGGAAACGTATCTGTGTCGATATGATACTGTCCACGCACCTACCGCGAGTACTCCGGCTCCTGCAAACTGACAATAAGATTTTATTATTACTAGTAGGCAAATTTGACACAAACCCTACACCAACCTGTCTGGCCTTCGTGGTACAGTAGGACAAAACCTCCTTTCTAAGGAGAGGCCTATGTCCAGCAGTGGACTTTTAAGGATGATTTCCACCAAACGGCTCGCATTGCATCGGAACGGATTTTACAAAATCTAAACCATATTAAATCGTGTACACAGTATTTAAAGTCCACATTACCAATACACAACAGTTTGACCGCAGGTGTCTTGCGCGACACCCGATCGTAGCCGAAAGTATGCTGCTGTAAGCTGCGACGCGAGATCGACTCCGTTGCTTGTCGTCGTATCCGATCGGATCCTTTTGGCTGTCGTCGTGTGCGCTCAAAGCCGGCTCAACCGAACTTTTCTTTTCCTCTTCTGTCTTATATATTTCTTTTCTTCTTTTTCTAATGGAATAGTCTGAGTCGTTGTGTCGAGTTCATTTGGGACCGTACGGCCGTCGCGGAATGCGAACAGTGATTAGTGGTACAGCGAATCGAGTCATTCAAGTCGTGTAGGTACACATCATCAACATGATTGATGATCATGATGATTAGCATTAGGTGGTAGCCCAAAAGGTAAAATTTGAGTGAGTGAGATTACTGGAACCCAAACTCCACCCGATTGGGGGGGGGGGGGCAAAACCTCCTTTCTAAGGAGAGGCCTATGTCCATCAGTAGACTGTTAAAGGCTGTTGATGTGATTGCTTCTATCTTCTTTATTACTTTTGAATATACTTGCGATTGCCCATGAGTACCCGGTTGTGAAAATTCCTAATTTACGAAATAGTTTGAATTTGCTTTGTAAGACCAGTTTACATGTGGTTGAGCAATTGATCTGATACCCAGACGATGACAGTAGGTGTGTGATAATCTATTGATAAACGATTATCAGTGAGCATAATATTTAGCTAAAATGTCAATAACCCATGAATTAGTATTGCTATAGTTCTAATTGCCATAGTGCATACGTTATTGTTCCAAATTCACTTATTTTTACAATATTCTTCTATATTTGGTGACTAGGTATATTAAATTGTTAGTCATTTTATAGATTTTTTTAAGTTGAAATCTTAATAAAATCTCTTTTTCATCAGTTACCTACATCATGTTTCGTTAAGTTACTGATTATATATGATGATATAAATGATCGATTATATTATCTACGCCCCCTTAAACATACGCTCTACCGTACGCTAATTTATAAAAATACCTATATCACCTATTATCATCATCATCAACAGTTTTTAATAGTCCACTGCTGGACATAGGCCTTTGTTTAGAAAGGAGGTTTAAAAAACGACCTACTATACGACTACCATAACACCTATATCTATTGAGCGCTCACAAAGAGCTTTACTGTCAGGATAGAGGTATATCTGAGTGCCACCCTAGTTGTTTTAAAGTAATAATTTTAACTTTAAACCTCTCACACATGCCTGTACATGTATTATGGTAACCAGGCTATTGATAAACTTACTTATGTATGTCTAAATTCATACAGGTTGTTAGAAAAGTACCGGAACAGCAGAATTATTTTTCTAGGGATGAATTTTTCGGAAAAACGTTAAACACCAAAGTTACAGGAATTTTCCCTGGCTTTCCATTGGTTCTCTATATGCATGCGCATCAGGTTCTATGAGAAATGTTATATTTAATACCTATGTAGGTTTATTAGGCTCATTATAAAACTTGTCGTTTGACCATGAAAAGATTAGGAATATTTAAAGCGAGCCAACGCACCGTGTAATCCGGTTATTCTACACGATTAGGTAATACACGGGCTGTTACGCAGACAATGTTTGTTACACACTAGTAATATTTAAATTTTAACGTGTATACAGTATAAATGTTTATATCATACATATGATAAGGTATGCAGCGTACACCTTAGATTACAGACATGATATATGCATATTTAGATACATATGGACGTACGCATAAGTATGTAAACATTTTATTTACTTTATAATTTACTAGCGATCTGCCCCGGCTTCGTTCGAGTATAGAACAGAGTATAGATACTACTAATACCACTAATGTGGTGTCAATGTTGAGTAATTAATTATACTATTATTATGATAGGATTATATGTATACAACAGGCCTGGGGGTGACAGGTAAGGCCATCTGTCACACTAGCAGAAGCAGGCCGGACTGACGGCTAGACGCGCTGCGGAGCGCTAAGGGAAATGGGGGTTTCCACACAGGAGGGGGTCATCTTCGCACAAAAAAAAAGATTATACTACAGGACATCTTTAAATGCAATATTTATAAGCCCGCTACCGACCGCTACCACCCGCGACGGACGCACGGCTCGATGGTCTTTGGGCCCCCGCATTTTAAACTTAAATATCTTCTAAAATATTCATTTTGATGATATGCTGTGAAGCAATTTTAATCTGCATTAAATGCACAACGTATTTAATTGGATAAGGAATAATATATTGTTTAAAATAGCTTCATAAATAACACATTCTTTTTTTGTATTCAAAAGATAAAAATGGGTACAGTGGGATATCCTTACGAGATAGACAGCTACCATCGTAGTCTATTTTGTAGACCTTTTTAAGATATTCAATTCCGTAGTACATTATTTAGGTCTATCTCAAAAGGTTTAGCCAGCGTTTGCAATATAAGCGCTCAAAAACATGTTTTTTTTTACAACAAATCTCTGAAATTCTCGGCTTTTCATGTATACATAATAGTATACATGCATCAATACAAATAGGCATTTTCAGCATACAAATAGGCTGCAGAATCAGTGCACTCATCGAGTAACATACTCGATAACTAAAAACCAAGATTATATATCTACCAGGTTGCCTATCAAAATGTGGCCGCTAGTATTTTAAATTAAATTTTTGTTAATTGATTTTTTGGTTCACTTGTTTTTTAAATAAAATATCGTCCACTTCATGGAAATATATATGAAGACTGAAAAATCACGGTTGCAGTTGCGCACTCGGCCGCACCTCTTCGCAGCCAGATGTAAGCAGGTATGATTTTGAGACATTTATACGTTCATAACGTACGTTTATTATTTACTAGCTGACCCGCGCAACTTCGTCTGCGTCTCTCAATAGTAATAAATTTTCTCCGTTTTTGAAACATTCTTCATTGGTGCTCCGCTCCTATTGGTCTTAGCGTGATGATATATAGCCTATAGCCTTCCTCGATAATAGGACAACACTGAAAGAATTTTTAAATCGGACCAGTAGTTCCTGAGATTAGCGCGTTCAAACAAACAAACAAACAAATAAACAAACAAACTCTTCAGCTTTATAATATTAGTATAGATAAATCAAATTAAAGCTATTTTTTTCTTTTTATAATGATATACGGTTGCCAAATTAAATCTGGCCGCAAATAAGGGTTGCTGGCTGTTAAAGATGGTAAATATTTAAGCTAGAGTGAAAGAGAGTTAGCGCGTAACATCACTAGTCAGACGAGGATAGCGATTGCCAGCTGCACGACGCTTTTAAGCCACATCAAAATCCGTTGCTTAGTTTAAACGACCGTACAACACGTTCATAAAATACACAAAACGCATACAAAGCTACGTAAAATAATAGCGATAATACAAAGAAATATTTGTATTACAATATGACACGCGCGAGGTGAAGACACGTTTGATCACGCGACTGATTTGCGGACAAGTTATTTTGTTTCGTATAACATCAATACGCTCGATGCACCAAAACAAATGAATGCTTGTTTAAAAGGCTATTTAAAGCAGAATTTGAGAGCCTAAAAAATATAGTGCTTCACAGTTTTTTTAATGAAAGTTAGAAAAAGTACTTAAAATAATAAAATTTCAACCAATTTGCCAAGTTTAATGTTTTTTTTTATCTGACTTTCAATTTTTTTCTTACTTTTTTAGAATACATGTAAAGGTCAATACCTAAACTTCACACAAATATAATAACATGGTTTTAATAAATACTTTGAATTTGCATGATTATGATAGGCGAAAAATGAGCCACCTCCTTTTATAGGACGTTGTTATTATATTGACGTTTTATGAATAGGAACTGATTTATTTGAAGGTCTTATAATAGTATTGTAGGGTAACAATTAATTGCTGACTTCTGATACAATGATTTTAGAATTGTAAAATAAAGATTTGAAAAATAAAAACAACAATTTTCTATTTTTTAAACCAATGCACTAATGCTGCTCATCCTACTCCTTAAAGTATTTTCTATCTATTAAAGTGTCATCGACACTAGTGTTTCGGTGGATTTCATTCATTAAATTATAACACTAGATTTAAGATTTTAAATAAATATATAAGAAAAAAAGTAAAGCTAAAGATTTTGCTCCTTTGTTAAATCCATACTACTCGTAATATTATAACTGCGAAAGTGTTTCTGTCTGTTAGTTTTTCACACTTAAACCGCTGTACCGATTTAGATGGAATTTGCTATAGAGATAATTTGAGTATGGAGATACATAGTTTGAGTTGTGGGGAAGGACATACGTTTTACCGCGATAACCGATTTACACGTGGGCGGAACCGCGGGCTAGCTACTACATAATATATTATTGATTCGGAATAAGACTTATTCGGAATTTAAAAACAAAAATCGAGCGAGACTGCAATATCTGATATCTCACCATCGTACTGTCAACTCTTTGTGTTACGCATTTCCGTCCCACAAAATCACTCCCTGAACATCAGATTGCAAGAAAGCAATAGGGACGATGTTAAACATGAAACTAAAATTTAAAAAAAAACTGTGTTGTACAGTGTATGATTTGACGTACTATGGAATAAGTTATACCTCCTCAATTAAGTTGTTTCTAATGAGTACTTCTATCTGCTAGAATGTGTATAATACAATAGTCACCAACAAAAAAGAACATAAAAATGAAGACTCGTTACTCGTCCATAACGACTGTCATTTCTGCCATTCAAATCACACTTTAAATGAAATTCTAAAAAAAAAAATATTAGAATTTTAGAAGTGACAGTAATTATTGAGGACTTGGCTTCATTGTATAAAGTGAACAAAAATAATATATGTCGTTTACATCGTTATTAGTGATACTCTTTGTACTCACACAAACAATACACCTTACGTAAATAAGCGTGGGGGGACCCACGCTTTTTTGCAAAAAAATTATATTTGTTATTTAACTTATAGAAAACTATCTTTTGCTCCGCCCGCGTGTAAATCGGTTATCACGTAAAGTAAAAGTAGCCTATGTTCTTTTTCAAGAATCAAACTATGTCAGCGGTTATTGATCCCCGATACAAATTTCCACCCCCTTAAAGGATAATTTCTGGGATAAAACCTCTTCTATATCGGTTCAGCGGTTTAAGCGTGAAGAGGTAGCTTACAGACAGACAGACACATTTTCTATATAATTGTCTAATTGTTTGGCACGCTCTGCGGCCTGAACGGCTCTATGGATTTTTTCACGCAGTCGAGTGTTTTGCTTTTTTAATATTTAGCTTATTAGTTAAGTTAGTTACAAAAGCGTGTTTTTAGTTTTTAAACTATAATTAACAAGAAAGATTATTATTAATTAATAATCTTTGTAACTAAACAAGTAACAATAAAGTCACATATGCTTCAGCACACACCTCTTAGTACGTAGCAAAATACACTACCGTATATCTAGGTATGGAAAAAGCTGTTAATCCTGAAGAGTTTGATCAGGATAATCGGCGAAATTTATCATATTATTCTATTGTCATCGGTCCTTGATAAGTGTGGGAAGTTTCAATGTAATACGTCGTAAACGTTTTGAAGTGGGTCAGAATCACCTTCGAAGATTCCGCTACATACATACAAAGCTAATAAACGCGTGTTAAAAAAAAAGAACATCAACGCAACTAAAACCGTCTGCAAAACCTAGTCGAGTGTGTTATACTGGTCATTCAATGAAGCTGGAAATACAACGTAAACAAAAACACATTTTTAGTGTTACAGACACAAAATACAATAGAAATACTTTAAATGAATTATGTATCAAGCACACAATAGATTATAGGAATGAACTAAAAACTATAATAGCAGGTTCCTTTTTTCAGGAAACATGTGTTGCAAGATAAATATTGTAAACTTACCAAAAATACAACATTGAAGATATGTAGGACACATTTGAGGAAATTGATGCTGCAGCAATCAGCGTCCCTCGACTTCCGCGGCTTCACTTTCTTCTTCTTTGCCAGCAATGCATTACCATCCTTATTTTTGTCTTCTGCCATAGCTCTTGTACCAACCAGTCAATCAATCTCGAAAATTTCACCTCTGTTGCACTATGCTCATGATCCCTGAAAATAAATAAGTTGAAATGAATATGTACCTTTCTCAAACAATAGTTAGATATTAAACACATTATGAAGTACTTACAGAAGGTAATATAACTTTGGTTATAAAGATGGTAGTTAGGAAAATAATTAAATGTGTATTAACATATTACATTGTTTATTTAATGTCTAAAGTAGCTTAAAAAAGTGGAATATAGTACAACACTTATGCTAAATTATACAACAAAATGTCTCAAAAAAATTGATCCACAGTTAGTAAATGTAATAAAATAAAACTATGTATACGTAATAAAACATTGTATCATGAAGACCTTGTAAGAGTGCAAAAAATATATACAGTTTTTTTTATATAAGCAATCATAATGTATATATCAATATAGTTGCTTACATTCAGTCCTTCGTTTCATCACAATGTAAATTCATTTTACCCGACCATAAATCAATACTTTACTTTTATCGTTTTTAATCAATCCTTTGGATTATGAAATACACTTGCATAATAAATAAATATCATATAATTTAGATAGTAAATAATATTAAAAATAACATTGTTGAAGAATAATTATTTTAGTTGATTACACATGAAATCAGATAATCATTATTAGTAATTCATTACATCTTCAAATTAAATAAATGTTCTAAGTCACATACAAGCTGTGGAAACTGCATATACTGGACAATTTGTAGTATTACCACTCAGAAGTATATTTCACAACACTTCCAACTAATGATATTTATTATGCCACATTGGCCGTTACACTAGATACAAATATAATCAACCTAAACAATAAGTTCTGTGATGGGCTTAGTTATTAGTTTTTACTTCAATATCAAATATTCCGCTCGGTGTTCACTTATTCATCATAGTATCTCAGCGTTGTTTCTAATTTTTCAACAATCTTTTTATAAAAGTGCACTTGCTGCCTTAAGAACTTCTGCATAGTTGCATTCAGATCTTTTGTTCTTTCAGATTTGAAATGATTAACTTCGGCAAGAAGTGCATATGATATAACATCAGTTCTCCGCAGTACTTCATTCAGTTGTGCTACTTCCATTTTACCCTCAGCTGTAAGTCTTTCGCATTCTCTCTTTTTCTGCACAGCACTTTTGTGGGTATTTAATGTGTCAGGGAAGCCTCCAACAACGCCTTTGTATAAATGAAATTTGTCACCCAACGGATCCCAATCATATTTCGGTTGATCATCATACATTCTTCCTATATCAATGTAGGCACTGCCTGTCATTTTGATAGCTGTGGTCAGTTTTGAAGTTGAAGCTAATGAGCCTTCATCGAGGCTTAGTGATGCAGCTAAACTACAAAATGCTTCCCCAACTTTCTGACAGTCAGCTTTGTAAGGGCCCTGGAATCTCTTGGTTTGTACAATACACATGTTTGTGACTGACTTAACCGATGTGTCCATGCTGTTTATAAACATATGGCATTGCTCTGTTATGTGATCTACTTGTGATTGCAGTAAAGCTTTCTCAGGTACTACTATTGATATGCAATAATTTAGCCCAAGCAGGTTGTCCCTTTCTGCTTGCCTCTTACCAGCCTTCCAACGCTTTTCATCAGTACAAGTCAAGAAATGCTGCCATACTTCACATTTTGATAGCACTGGATGCCTGCACATCCAGTCAACAAACTCCTGAAGTTGAACTCGGCGACGTTCGATAAGTTGTTCGTCATATCTGCCAGAAATCTGTTTATCAGGTAGAGGTGGGATTGGAATGAGAGTAAATTTCTCTTGTAATCTTTCATGCAACCAATCAAAATGCTTGTATCTCCTAGAGACTTGTATATTATTAAATGAAGGTGTCAATTGATAGGCTATGTAACTTTTAATACCCTTAAACTTGGATTCCTTCTTAGGGGAGGCTACAGTGACAGTGTAGGGATGTGTGATGGGCCACCACTCATATCTGTCTTCCTCCTGCACTATGTAGACTTTTTCCGAGTCTGGTACTTCTACATTTAGTGTGGCAAGTAAGTAGCTTTCTCCGCTAACTTTAGACGATGGAGCAAACTTGCTCTTTCGAACAGTACCCACTGTGGAGCTATAGTTAGATGCAGTTTCTTCTGTGTGTGCACTGTATTCACTAATTGGCATGCCTGGCAAGGGGGTGAGTTGTTGGTTGTATTGAGTTTTACTTTGTTGTTGAGATGGTCCTATTTCTGAGTAAGTGTCATCATCCCAATCATCATCCCAGCCATCTTCATGTGAGGCTCCTCTTTGAAAGTTGCTATCACCTGCACTGAATTCTACATCGCCCCAAGAATCAGCTGCTTGGTCATATCTTGGTGGAGCAGGAGCTGCCGGTGCTGATTTAGTTTGAACTGATTCTTCAGGAGTTAGTTTCCTTACATATGCAGCTGGAAATAAGCCTGTTTCTCCTTTGGAATTCTTTCCTTCCCACCAACCCTCACCAATTTCTGTATTGATTAATGTTAATATTTCACCACTGACTATTGACATTTCAGTAGTGTTAGGCTCACCCATGAAGTCATACAGTGCTTGTACTTGGCTTGTCATTTTGGACCGCTCACCTAAAACAATTTTAGATATTATTCAATTAGGCTTAGTGGTTTATAAGGATAGATGGATACAGTACTAACAACACTATCTTATCATTCTTATCTACAGAAGTAGGGAGTATGCAATATGATAAATGTTTTCACACATATACTGTTCTTTATTATTATTAGCACTGCTATTAACTATTTAGGGCGTCACTGTAAGGCGCTGACACATATTCCTAATAGTCCCTAATTAAGCATACTTCAAACCTAATTGTTTCCCATGTAACTGTTAAACTTATTGTTTTAAGATTTTTAAAAGAAAACGGTAGTACCACCGCTTTTACTAGACCTCCTTTGTATGAAAGACAATAACATTAGAATGATAATACTGATTCTGACCTGAAGAATAAATTGCTATCTACAAAATGATAATGCAACACAAAGACGAAAAATAGCAAAAACACAAAAGGACAAATAATTTAAAACCGTCACATAAGAATAAAACACTGACATATTTAAAAAATTGTTGATTATCTATAATATTTGGAAATTTATATAGAAATTAATCCAATGACGTCAATTCAAGAGCGTGTATGAACTGTTGTTTCTGACTTATATTGTGATCGTAGAGCTTTGAAAGTTATAAATATATAATTTTTACACTTTTATGAAGTTGATATACAATATGAAAAGATTTTTACTTACTTTTAACACTTTAGAATTAATATTTCAAGGCGGATACACCGATTGAACAGTCATCTGTTTGACAGATTACTAAGAATTTGTTTTCCGTTACACCATGTTCTCGATTACGTGGCAGTTCTAATAGAAAACAAAATTATTTCATTGGTCGGATGATAAATGGAAATAAAAAACTACCAATAGCACTCGAGTTTATTCGGTTACTATAAGCATACCGAGTGCCAATAGCAGGGTGAATTTCAAAGTAAAAAGAACGAAGCTTCAACTCTCAAGCTGATGTTGTGTTAGTGATACTTTAAGGTGTCGCTAGAGGGCGCTCTTATAAAAATGTAGACTGTAAGTAACAGTACGTACAGTCATACTTTAGACGTTACTTTTAGACTTTAGACAACATTTTAGATAGACATATTATTCTTTAATTATTTATTTGTTTAGATTAAGTTACTGGCATTTGTTTTTTTGTAGTACACATATATCTTCAGACTACCTTTTTTTTCTGATTCTCGAAAGAAACGCTAGAAGTAACGTAATGAAAAACATTGTCAAATGATGGGTATTGGTGATCTTGCGAAGTCGATGTGATGTGTATCACCAGACTGTGGTGTAGTTGCCCATAAGATCATGGTTAAGTATTCGATTCAGCCACGAATATAAGTAGGTAAGTAAAATTCGAAAGTTCACACTTTTTGCCTGACGTGTGTACTCTCTATTGTTACGCGACTGCGCCAGGAGGGTTACCTTTTTGAGTGTTTGTATCAGTGTATATCTTTATATATATAATTCTTCTGTGAGTGTGTATGTCACTGAACTTCTCTCAAACGACAGGACCGATTTTGATGAAATTTTTTGTGTGTGTTCAAGGGGATCTGGGAATGGTTTAGATTCACAATTTTGTGGAAAATGTTTTTTTAATTAAGTAGTTGTTGATTTTGGAATGTTTTACATTGGATCCGACAGACGGCGCTACCATCGCAGTGTCAAATTTGACAGGACAACGTCGTAGTGTATGTATATTTTTTTGGCACGTTCTATAGCCTAAACGACGTGATGAAATTTGGCTTTTGAGGTGTTGTTAGATTCGTCTTGATTGTGAGAGTGACGACGGTTTGTTAAATCTGCGGGTGTATGTCGACTGTTTAATATTCAGCACTTGGCTTGGCTTTTTTGAAAAGACTAACTGAACTAACTAACTTAGGCATTTTTTTTTTAAATCAGAAAAACCCTATAAAATTCTGCCTTGCCCAGGAATCGAATCCACTTGGGGTGCTTGGCTAAAAAACCTCCACGTGGTGCACCCTGGAATTAATAGACACCATTGCATATGAAAAGAGGCGAGGCTACCGGGTTAAGGTTAATGGAAAACATACAGAATCCATCTTAGCATTCGCAGACGACCTTGCGATCCTCACACCTGACCCGAAGCAGTGCCAAGAGCTACTGCTTAAGGTGGATGACTTCTGTACCTGGTTGGAGGGAATGAGGATAATACCTAGCAAATGCTATTGCCTTTGTCTGGGCCGGCGAGGTACCGGATATACCTCATATGGCTCATATGACCGGGATTACTATTGGTGAGAAAAGTGTTTAAATAATATCAGAAACTGTGACCTTTAAATGCCTTGGAAGAAAGATAGACTACAAAGGTCGTACTCCATCTATGAACGCAATAGTCGATGACTTTGTAAAATATATTGACTAGGTAGACCAACAGCCAATAAGTAACATCAAAAAGGTTAGATTTGCGACAACTACTTAACATCACGTCTTAACTGGCCATTTCTGGTATACGATATAAACCAGAATCACTTAAGAATACTCAATGCGAAAGTTACTAAGACATTGAAGACGTGGCTCGGGCTAGCACCATTAACAGACCCGTCAACATTGTACTTCTACTCTAAAAACTTTGCAATGAAATAAAAAAGACATTTAGAACAGAGCTCTAGTCACGGCTTCAACTCTACAAGAAATTTATGGTGGGGAAGCAGCAGAAATTCTAGAAGACAGATAGATAAAGAGATAACCAAGGCTTTCCTACAACAAGATGAAAACGAGACTTACAAGGCGCACGCAATGAACCTAGAAATGCATAATAATTGGTTAACTCTAGGTGAATTTTGTATCAAACCAGCTTTGTAATAGCGCATACTTTTATACAGTTGGTGACCTGCCTTATTAAAACTTTACCTCAACGCCTGTCAATTAACTCTCCCCAATCAAAGCAACCAAGTAAGGTAGGGAAAAGCTACAGAAAAGGCTTGTAAAGCTAGACACTTACTAACAGATTGTAAGGCTCTATGAAAGCTCATATTTATCTATGATATGTATGTATTAAAAAATATATAAGTATGTTTATCAGCAGTTTGGTTACCATAGTACAAGCTCTGCCTAGTTTGAGCGTGCCGCGTGTGAGACGTGAGGTTATTATTTGTTTTTATACAATTCTAGTATTCCGAATAAAAAATTAGGTGTTTATTCGTCAGAAAATAATAGAGTTATTTTATAAGCAGAAATTGATTGTTAGGTAAAAGTTATATCGTTCATACTCGTTTACAAAATGGTATATTACATCAGTCTAAATTAGGAGTCCAGTCATTGCATAGGCACTTCAATAAAATTGTAAGCGTTTAATCTTATTTTTAGCCACTACTTAAACAATTGAACAAAAGTCATGCAAAACATTATTTCGGTGCCAATTCGTGTAACGTATTTTGAATTCTCAATAATCAGATTGTTATCCGTATCTGAATAGGTAAAAGTGTTAGTAGGTACTTGAAAGATCTGAAAGGACAGGTATAAAAGACGGCACTTGACGAGAAGCTAGCTACATGAGAAACACAATACTATGCTACTAGTGCTTCTAAACTATAATTTTGTGCAGGAAAAGTGCCTCCTAGTCTAATAAATTTTTCACAACGTACTTAAGTTCATTATAAATAAAAAGCAATTAATATTTATGAAATATTACATTCATAATACCAGTACCAGGAACCTCTTTCTGGGTGTATTTATTACATATGCAGGAAAACTAATTAAAGTCGAACCTTTGTGTGAATTTTAAATGAATAATGAAGTATTTGGTTAACAGATCGTAAATCTTGGCTCAGAGAATGAGGGAACTTATTTCGTTAACGCTTTTGTCGGCATCTGAAATATAAAATGGTAGTTCAATAGTGGAACAAGATTTCATCACTACTTTTACACGATGCATTTGTTTATCATTAATGAGTTTAGCCTATATTATGTTTGTATGGATGTTTGTTTGTTTCTTTGAGGCGCTCTAAGGACTAATGTGTGGCAGCCCGCACTTTAAATGATTTAGGAAATTGACAAGTTTCTTTAAGTTCTTTCAATGTTTCTGGTATTCTAATTTAATTTTAGGCTTTTGTATAAGGGCCCAAATTCCTGTGTGCAAAGATGCCCCAAGTTTTTGTGTACCCTAGAGCCCCGACCTACCCACAGAGGGCTTTGAATCTATTTCTTATACGGACGAATATGGATGGACCGTGTAGGGTCTTGTCTACCTGACCGCTGCGTTAATAGTACAGGCTGAGAGGCAGGAGAGAGTTCAGATCGAAAAAAATAGAAAAAAAAGTATTCATCATCATCAACAGTCTTTAATAGTCCACTGCTGGACATAGACCTCTCTCTAGAAAGGAGGTTTTGGCCTACTATTCCACGCTGGCAAGACAGACAGTAAAACAGTATTAAAAGCTATAATTGAAACGAATATATAATTGAAGATTCGACAGACAAAGCACAGTCAAGGTTTTAAAATTATTTTGTCGAATTCATTTTAATGTTACCTTTATACACGAAACTATACGTGTGTGTACCCGTGTACTTTGATTCCACTCGGTACGCTCACCAAACACACAAGATTTCTCAACGGTCGTTAAAACAGGTCACAAGAGTAAAATCCGAGATTTTTTTTTAACTAAGTATGTAAAGAGTTTGTGTTACTTTTAAAATTAATTATGTAGTTTTATTTAGAAGATTAGATTAGTAATTATACATGTGTTTTTTAACTTTCGTTACATTGGTTGATCAAACGAGATGGAATCTCTTTATGGGCACTAGTCACTGGACTACCGGGGCTTAAAAAACAAATTTTGTGTTATATTTTTTTACAATGCAAAAAGCAAAAAAAATGCCTGTTGGTCCATTGGTTAGTGACCCTGACTGCTAAGCCGAAGGTCGCGGGTTTGATTTCCACCCAAGACAAATAACTGTGTGATGAGCACGATCATTTGTTCTGTGTCTGGGTGTTATTTATCTAATATATGTATGTATTTAGAAATATATAAACATGTTTATCAGCTGCTGATAAACATGTTTATATATTAACTGCTGCAGTCTAGTTACCATAGGCTCTGCCTAGTTTGGGATTAGATCAGATAATTGATAATTGTATTATGTTAACTTTTATTTCCCTTTACGCAAAAGATTAGTGAGATTTAGGTATGTGACTCATTAAACCCGTTTAAATTAAAGGCGGGATGAAGCGTCATTAAATGCCAATTGAAATGAAATTCAAATTTAGCGTGAAGTGAAAAAATGCCTTCAAATTCATTTCAAATATGACACACATGTTTTAATTATAACAAATATGGGAAAAGAATGAATTGGATGAATATGATATATGAATGATAATGATTAACGAATTATAAATATATTTAAAGCTATCCAAGAGTATTTATTATTAGGTATTTTGTTCATTGGCGTGTATAAAGTATAAAGAGAGTCAGACTCTCGCATAGTAAGGGAATTATTGATGATCGTCTTAGATATACTTACCTATTGCCAACAAGGCAAAGTCTCTCGGAAGTGCAAACTACACAATTGAGGTGTATGGGTCACTTCTCCCTTCTACCTTCCTGAGTAAACACGGCTCACATTGACGTGTTTTTTTTTAATAGGCATCATACAAATTTAAAATCATTTCATCACACCTGTGACTCAACTACAAAACCACTGCTATTGCGACGCTAGTGCCACCTAGCGTGCACTTGCAGTCGTCGCATCGGGAACTTGTCCATCGGGGCGTGACTGAGAGAATGATTGTTCGGCTTTTTGAAGCGCAGTCAGTAGCTCATTTTGCTTCTTTCGTCTTCTTGGTGCAGTCCTTTAGCGAGTGGCCTAGCTCCCCGCAGTGCACACAGGTGTATGACGTCTCTCGACACGTTTTGGCTGCGTGCCCATACTGCTGGCACTTGTAACATTTAGTTGACCAGATGACAAGATGACCAGTTCACAAATACTCTGTCTCTAGTTATTAGTAATTGACACCATAATGAGAAATGTAATCAATTTATTATGTTTGTTCATTTATTCAATACCTCCTAAAAGAAACAAACATCAAAACGAAAAAGGAGTCTTGCCTAAATAAGAGATCTTTACATAAGTGTGGCATAGGTTATCTTCAGACTTCATACGTAACACTATTTAAATGGTTTAAATTTATAAACGTAATGAATGTACTTAAAAGTTGCTATAAATAAAGCTTAAACCATGGAACAATGGTTTAATTCCAGAATAAAATATCGCAGAGTATTTGTATGGTATGAATATATCACATCACATAATCAGTCTCTCCTCTCCTTAGAAAACAGCTTTTGGCCTACTACATACCACGCTGGCCAGACGGGTCGGTATAGGGTTTGTTTTAAGTTTTCCTTCTCTTTGCCGCGCTGTTGTCCTGCGTAGTTTGCTCCCTTAGTCGGCTCTTACGACAATCAGGGGATGAATATGGGTGGCAACACTACGCGTTCTTAATTTATTTATTGAGGTGAGTAATGACCAGACTTGAACGCCAGCTTGAAAATATAATACAAAGGAATACACACACGGATATGGTATTTATTTTATAACTTATAAATTCTTAATATGTAATAATTATGATATCCTAGAAAGATGTCCGCATATATTGTTAGATGGGTTTAAAATCTATTGCAATATAAGTAGATAGGTACTGTTGTAATGTTGAACAATAATTAGAAATAAAGCCTGCTCCTAACGCACTAAGCTCTTGAGCAATAAGAATGTAATAAAAGCAAATCATCCGTAATAATGGCTGTCTATTTCTAAAAGGCATTTTATATATCGCAACAAAGAACAACAATCTACTAGGATGATTGGAGGATATTGGAAAAGTTAACATGTCGAATGGATGAATAAATGGACGCAGGTTAATATTAAATGATTTGGTGATTTATCTCAAGTTCAATCAAGCTTCTTATAGCCGAGATTAAAAGTCAGGGTTAATTTGTGTTGATAAAGTACTATTCCGATATTATTAATATTTTTAGAACTGATTTCGATTAAATGTGAGGACCTTAGATGTGAGGACGTTAAACGTTAGAAGTTTAGAGGTTTATTTTTTACTTAAAAGTCAAAGAACAATGGCAGGTCCCCATACATAATTTTATTTGAACTGAAATGGTAGCGTTTAAATATCAAAAATGCCTAAAACACTTGAGAATTTATTCTTGTCCATTCTCATAACAAAATTACTAGCGAAAGAAGTCTAGGAAAAAAGATATTGTATTTTGAATGTTTCGAGGTTAAGTACTAACATATTGTCAATGTTTTGTTTGAAACTAGATGGCGTTGTGTCTCATATAACCGAAAATATTATATTCATTATTATTACTCATAAAAATCCTATTTTGCTGTTAAAAGTGTTAGCCGACTCTCTAAAAGGGTGCAGGTTATTTTACCAAAACAATAATAATGGTTTAAGCGGTCGCCACGCTGGTCACTACTACGCTAAGTGTTGTGGGTCCGATCCCCACATGGGACAACACTTTGTGTGATTCACAAATTGTTGTTCAGAGTCTGGGTGTTCTTTGTGTCCATTTCATGTATGTTTGTAAAGTCCCCGCGACACATGACATATTCCTAATGTGGGAGTTGTCTTAAAAAAACACTATACGAAATTAAAAAATATTAAAACGTAACATATATGCAAGTTTAACACTACATTGAAAAAAATGAAAAAACAAAGAATTGCCGTGTAAGCAATGGTCATGAAGTCATGGTCGTGAGTGTCAAACGACAAGACTGGTGAGTGCGGCACTCGACAGGATCCATCGTATCGACATTTTGAAATTTTGAAAATATCGATGTATGTCTATTTATGAGCCGTTTTCAACGACAATGATTTTTTCTCATCACACTGTGCAGTATATTGTTATACTGTAAACATTGTTAAAGTAACGTAACTCTATTCTAATAATTTAGTTTAGCAAAAATCGTTTAAAAAGAGTCAAAAATATTCTAAATTATTTCTAATTATGTTGATTTAGTCACTCTACCGTACTAGTGAACCCGTGGGCAGAAGCAAATTCATAATCATAAAAGGTGAACCTTCGGTAGATATTTCAGCCAAAGCTATATAAATCAATTATCGATAAAACGTTTTATAATATAACTAGCTGACCCGCGCAACTTCGTCTGCGTCTCTCAATAGTAATAAATTTTCTCCGTTTTTGAAACATTCTTCATTGGTGCTCCGCTCCTATTGATCTTAGCGTGATGATATATAGCCTATAGCCTTCCTCGATAAATGGGCTATCTAACACTGAAAGAATTTTTCAAATCGGACCAGTAGTTCCTGAGATTAGTGCGTTCAAACAAACAAACAAACAAACAAACAAACAAACTCTTCAGCTTTATAATATTAGTATAGATAATGCCATCCGCATCCCTAGTCGGTTAAACGTGATGGCGAATCTGACATTGCGTACTTAGTCAAATAAAATCTTCAAAAATATCCGATCTCTTATAAGAATTATACAACACATGGTGGTGTAATGATAAATAGTAGAAAAAATATTTATTAAGTTTACTGTGAGTCAATTTTTTAAACGCTTGAGTTTTAGGTAAATATGTTTCTGCCATTGTTCTTTTAGTCAAACTTAATATTTTATCTCTACACCCGCCACATCATATTTCTAAATCACTAGTAGGGTGTTGGTCGACTTGTAGAGAATGCCCTATGGCTATACGTCCGGCTTTGTACAACATGTGCATTAAGTTTTAAAATGAAAATAATAAGAGACCAAGAAAACCTGACCCATCCTCAACTATTTTATAAATTTAATGATAAGCAATCATACTTCAGAAAATTTATTGAAATAGGTTCATTCACATAATTACTTTCATCTTGGACATTGGTCGCGTTATTTACCGACATAAATTGCTTCTGGTACTATTTCTGTAACAACCTCATCATAGGTTTTGTTATCACTCTGAATCAAAGCGTTTGGTAGCCAATCCAGCCATCCATCTCCAAGAAATTGATCAAACAATTCACACGCACAAACTTCTTCAGGGTATTTGGGAAACACGTTCTCAGAAATGTCAATTGATTTAAGAATATCCACTTGAGAATCACAGCTCACTGCAACAATGAAAGCGAAAATAATAAAAATCTTTTTCACCATCATTATAATGTTATGGTGTTGATTTGAATGTTCATGATGGTTTACAACACCATTATTTATAGTAGAATCGGCAAGGTGGGTGCGAAGTTAAAAGGTCAAGGTACGATGTACCTACTAACAGAATAATACATTCAATGCATAAGGTCAAGTATGTTGTTGAACAGCCACACAAGTGATCAAAAGAAGATATTTAATTTAAATTGGTAAGTTATGTAAGGATATAACGCTTTAGAATGGGACCACTACACTAGTTGTGTAGAAGATTTGAAGTGAGATTGTCAAACTAACAGTCTGAGTTGATTATAGGTCGTGGTGAGTTTGATTATGTGTCGGAAAATTAAAATCTTGATATTCATACAATAGTTTGGCAAAGATTGCGGTCGAGGTTGGATCTCGTGTTATTTATACATCCTGATTGGGTGTATAAACAAGCGCTGCAATGTCTGTTAATATACCCATACCAGAAATTAGGTTCTAATTTGAATTCCAGTAAATCTCATCTACATAGACATTAATTTCTGAAGAGAATTACTTAACTGCTCCTGCTGCTGAATCAATATCCAAAATATTTTTAATTTATTATCCACTATTCCTAAAGTTAAGTTATTAATATTAGAGCATTTTAAATTATGAGAAACAAGATTTTTTTCTTATTCTGAAATTCATAAGAGTTATTTTCCTTCTACTGATTAATATCTACCACTTAAGTAAGACTTAATAAAAAAGATTTACTCGAATAACTTTGTCGCAGTAAAGTCGCATATGTAATCACGCTTAGTGCTATATAAGTTCCGACATTTCGCTTAAAATGTACACCGCAGAGATCAGAGACAATGTGTTGAGATATTTCTTAATTATCCCGCCTACACTTACTCGACTGTACGATGAGCATCTGTCGTCGACAGCGACATATTGCTTGACACTCGTGTCTCAAGCGAGAGACGCATAAACTCTCTGCTTTATAGTCACATAATATAGTAAGCTGCAAAATACTGCACTTATTACTACTAGGTTACGCTCTAATAAGAACGCGTCTATGACGGGATTTTGTGTTTTATTCTGTGTTAACTGGCCTATTATAATTTGCGGTATGGGAACAGGAGAGAAGACGAAGCTCTACGGACGCGAGGGCGCAAAACGATCTGTTACGTTTTTGTAGATAATATTTCCCGTATTTTCTTCTGTGCAACTTTTTTCTGTAACACTAGTATTACATTGTTTTTTGGCTTGTGGCACCGCAACTGCACTATGAGCCTGTACTATGACAACCAGACAGCTGATAAACATACTTATATATTTTAGATTTTATTACTTCTCAGCAAAAACTCAAAACAGTATTGAATAAAATTATTCGGTTACGCGGATCGCTGACGATGCCGATCACGATGCTGACCAGCGGACACGCCCCGACCATGATGCCAACGACGACGATGACCACGACGTGGATGCCAACAACGAACAGGACGCCGACAACGCCAACGTCCGCGATGCCAAAGATATCGATTAGGGGTCGTATGTGTTATGTCGGGGCACCAGGGACTTCCTTTCTAGGGTATACCTGGTTTTCCGGCTATTGGTACCCGAGACGGCGTGCGGTTTTATTCGGTTCGAGTCCGACATGCCACCGATAGGTGGTATCCGAGGGGATTTCCGCACGAAAACAAAAAAAAAGGGGTCGTATGTGTATAAGTGAATATGCCATGGCCAGATCTTAGAATTAACCACGACAGGTTGACCATTTTGTAAAATACGAGTATTTCATAAAGTGGTTAGACACATCATGAAGTGATTCTGACATAACGAAGGGGCGGCTCTTTCTGCAAATTATTGATACAGTTGTACACTTGTAATATTTCGTAACTTTATCTATTTGTGGCCGAAAAGCTTTGACGAGTAGTTAAAACTAAAACACAAGGGTTGGTTGTTCTTAACTTTGTTATTCGTCTTACTTTATGATGATCAATATTTATTGTTTTTATTTTTACCTTTTTGTGTAAAAGAACAAAGAAGTTGCCAGGTAAACAATAACTTAAAATCAATTTCTACTAAATAAAGGTTGAAGTGAAATTATTGTATTGTATTAATCCACCAGTATTTGGCTACAGATAAAATATTTTGTTTTTAAAAACACAAATCTTTCTGCCAAGTAAATATTTGGCACGTTTCGAAATGAGAGGTAGATCCCGTTTACGGGCAAGTGGCCAGAACCTCCAAAGACTTACATAGCGTGTGGTTTCAGTTGATTCGCCGTGCCTTTTGACAACAAGAAGAACGTACTAACTTTCCTCGATATCGCAAAGGCTTTTGATACAGTCTCTGCGCCTCTACTACTGAGGAAACTGGAACATCTTCGAGTCAGTTGAACTCAGCACGATCTTTTTAAAAGCGACTTAACTGGTAGATCGCATAGTGTTAAAGTTAGGGATTGGATAAGTGATGAACATGAAATTACAAACTCCTCAATTCCTCAAGGGAGCATTTTAGGTCCTACCCTTTTTTTAATTTTTATCAACCACCTTTGCGAACTTAAACTTAATACTGGAAACAATATTACTTTTGTGGACGATACAGCTCTTCTGTTTTATGGTGACACTTGGAGGAAGTTTTTCAATTCGCCCAGGTGGGTATCTCACGGGTGACTAGGCTTGGCTCAGAGACAACCTATTTAAACTTAATACAGATAAAACCAAACACATTGCATTTGCTCTATCAAACAATTCCATTAATATTAACCCAGATCTCCACATCTCAGCATATACATGTAACAATAACCTCTCAAACACTTTGACTCGATACACATCGACCTGTTAGCAAAACGTGTTAGGAAACTCATATATATATTTAAGAACCTACGAAGCGTTGCCGACGAGAAGGTGCTTCGGACTACGTACCTTGCACAATGTCAATCCTTGCTGATATATTGTGTCACAGTATTGGGAGGAGCCTTAAAAACCTATATGAAAAAACTAGAACGTGCACAAACAGCAGTCCTTTGCCTTCCTTTTTTTCATCAAACAAAAAAATGTAAGGTACTAACGGTCCGTCAACTCTTCGTCGTCAACACTATTCTGCGCAAGACTCAGAGATATTATATCAACCTACTTTACAGTCTCACAAACGAATTAAAACAAAAGTTTGCCCTAAAATATTATGTAAAAGTAGCCTCTCCCAATGCAGCTACAGTTTCCTAGGTAATTATTTATATAATAAACGCACACACACACTTACACAAACACACACACACACCCACCCACACACACACTGACGCTTTATATAATAATATAATAATAATATTCTACCACATTCACACAACTATGGCTACTAGACAACTGATATAAATACATATAAATCCTTTTTTTGTAAATACATACTTTTTATACATAGAAAGACCCAGACCAAATCAAACATTAAATGTTCACACAAATGTTTGACTTGAGCGGGAATCGAACCGGCGACCTTTGGAATAGCAGTCCGTTACATAAACCACTACGCCATTCGGTCGTCAGACTAATAATAACTATAAATGAACAATGTATAAATGTACACTAATAACTATATATGTTTTTAATTGGCAAGATGTTTATGTATATTTTTTATTTTTGTTTTTACTTCCAACATGGTAAACGAACAAAAATGGACCATTCATTTTATTGCAAGCGGTCACGATAGCAAATAAAAGATTGTTTCTGAAGTTGTTAGAACTTTTGTTACTGCAACATATATAGAGCTAGAAATCATTTAAGGTAGCCAATCCTTAATATCTGGCCAGTGACATTATCAACATTAATAATATTTTTCTGCAATGTTACAAGAAAACCCCTCGCACATAAAGCGGTTTGGACAAACTGATCCTTATAATATTAAGAGTTCTGCTACCGCTCAGGACGGACATCAAAGCATTTTAAATGCAAATTGAAATGCTACCTTATACAGGGTTTTCCTAATTCACTTTTCTTGGTTCGTCGAACAGCCCTGAGTCTTTTTTGTATCACGTTTCTACGAAAGGAAGTGTACAATCATGCCGTTGAATGAGATACTCTGAGAAGGTAACACACCTATTGAATACGTATTGATTTGAATCATTTTCAAGTAATAAATAACTCAAGGACACATTTAGAAGTATGTTATTGTCTATTTCAGATATCATTTTAAAGGTATTCGTAAAGGGATTCAATGCAAAGTATAATCAATAGTGCCAAGGTAATTATTCATTCTGTTCTTTTGCTGGTGTAACACTTAAGTTGTCTCTAACATATTGCATCTTTTAATAAGTTGCGAGTTCTTTTAATTCAATTACACTACAATACATACAATACAATTACACACAATTTTCAATATTATTACAAGAAAATATGATTAAGTTAGTGTATTTAAACACATTTTTAAGTAAATGGTCCCTAAAATACTGATCAAAATATTATTCAACCAATGAAACTGTCAAACTAAAAGAAGAATAAATTTTTCCAATCCTAATAATTGATCCGAAATCCAATTAAAGAATCGGTGCCTAATCATGCTCTTAACAACTCAATCTGAGTGCCTGGCAAGATATTTGACATTGGATTACTTAATTTTTGAGTGGATCAGACTTTCAGACACCGTGTGTTAACTTGAACTCCTAAATTGTTGAGAAAACATGATATCAATCTGAATAAAAAGACCGACTGAAGAATATTTTAACCGAAGAGTATTAAAATCAGCAAAATAATTGAATACAAGCTGAAGGTCATCAATTAGAGCGAAACTTCTGGATGTTCTTATAATTTATTCGGTGCTGAAGCTCCGACATGGTTGGCGGGGCAAGTAAGTTGGGACCGTCCAAACTTTTGCCAGAAACGTAACATTTGCTACCAAGTGCACTTTAAACTTAGCCACGAGTCTTACGGGCCACAGACAGCCCGTGACAGAACCTCAGAACTCACCAATAAAGAGTCGATACGAATTACGCTTGCTAGTAAATGTCACTTAACTGACCAATTATTAAAGGACACGGTGGTACAATAAATATAACAATTTGTTCACTGACCCGCATGAAGGATATAGTGGCAAAAAATGTATATTTTACTGCCTGACACGTTTCACTGTTGCACGTTATGGTTGCATTGATGAGAAACGACAAACAATCTGACGCAAAAACCAAATAACAACAATCTTTGAAGCGGGTAGTTACGAGTATTGTGTCAATTGGTGCAGAACTTTTTGAGTTTTTGAAGCGTACACAACATTTTTATATACTCTGAAATGGAATACTATTTATATACATAAATATATATAAGCAGATGTGTATATAAACTTCCTGTCATGTAGCTGTGAATCAGAATACTGTATTTTATGTAAAATGTAGTAATTGTAAAATTTAAAAAACCTACCAAATATTAACAATACCGGTGAATAAATTTATGGTGGTGATTAAATTTATGAGAAATCTAAGAGGATATAAAAGCTTAATTTAATAGAAGTATTAGTTATGTGTAGTAATAGTGTGGTAGTAGTAGTACCTACTATTTACATATATATAGACGTATTTATTATACATATTATTTTGTCATAAACATTTTGCAACAAACTGTCATATCTTGCCCGATTTCTCGGAAATTGAATAGTTTGTAGAAGTGTCCTTTTCTTTTCTTATGGTGAAATCAATTCCTTATTTAATTTTCTGTGGAAATGTTTCTATTGAAGGTTCACGTTCTTACGTGGTGAAATAATGTACATCCAACTCAGTCCTTGACATGACCACACTTGCCTGGTGTGTTAAGGTGATACGGTGTCGGTTTAACATGTTTTAGCTAGAAGCATCCTGTGCATGACGAAAAGTAGTCCCGCTTTTGACTTTAGAGTTTTTCTTCTTTTGGATAGGTATTAAAAAATAGAGGAGTCTGGGGCACAAATCCAAGGTATGGTCAATCCG